GCAGAATCCCTTTCGGAAAGCAGCACGCTTATCAACCTGGTTCAGCTTTATCAATTTGATTCCATTTGTCAGAGAGCTTTGGGCATGCAGTGGGACACAACAAGAGATTTTTTTATTTTCCAGTTCCAACTACTAGATAAGCCGGTGACAAGAAGAGGTATATTATCCAGCGTCCGTTCGTGGTTCGACCCGCTAGTCCTGGTAGCCCCTCTATGCCTCCCAGTAAAGCAGTTGCTGCGAGCATTGTGTAAATTCAAAATGGGTTGGGACCAACCTCTCAAATTGTAGATGCCAGTATTTGGGAATTCTGGGTACGCTTTGTTAGGTGTCTGGAATTGATCAGGATCCCAAATAGTATTAGAAACGAAGATTGGGGGGACAGAGGGAGAACACAGTTGGATGTTTTCTGTGATGCATCTGAGACAGGTTATGGGGCCGTCACTTACGCGTGGTGTGTTCCAGGAAGACAGCCGGCTTACAAAGTTTTGCTATTCAGTATGTTTTGAGTGGCACCTATCCAACCCGTAACCATACCGCGACTGGAACAGTCTGCGGCAGTCCTCGGAATCAAGATAGGAGAGTTGATAAAAAGGGCTCTATTGGAGATGTTCAACGAGGTGTGGTACTGGACGGATTCAATGATTGTCATATATTATATAGAAAATACTTCAACACGTTTTAGTACATTCGTTGCCAATCGGTTAGCAATCATCCATCAGTACTCCACTGTGTTCCAATGGCGTCACATCCGGTCCAAACAAATTATTGCTGGCCTTACTTCGAGAGGTATATCAACAAGAAGAGAACTAGAGACATGGCGAGCGGTCGATGTTCTTACAAGGCTAAATTCCACAGGCATTATCTCCATTATCGTCCCCACCGGATGGCGTGGAGATGAAGAAAATTGTAGCACGCGTGAACACAGCTATTTTGTCGATAAAACTAGAACAGCTTCTGCATCGTTGCTCTCAATGGTCAAAACCTTTAAAGTCAGTTGCATGGATTATTCGTTTCATCTTTTACATTATAATTATGTATTCATTGAGAAACGAAAATACCCTGAGGGTAGGAAACCTCACGGTCGACGAAATCGACGCAGATCAGTGGAAGATTTTAGGAATGGTGCAGAACAAAACATTCGGTGAAGCAACATTACAGGCAAAACTTCAAGGAGCACGAAACGGAGGCATGGTACATTCTTTGAGGAATCTCTGTCCAGCTATGACAGGCGGCTTGCTTTGTGTAGGTGGGCGACTTAGTTACGCAAACTACTCCTCCCATTTCAAGCATCCGGTGATCCTACCCAATGGACATCATGTGACTGATCTCATTATTTGCCACTATCATAGCAGAGAAGGACATAGTGGTACGTCACACATTTTGTCAGCGATACGTGAAAAATATTGGATTGTCAAGGGGATCGGTACAGTGAAGCGAGTAGTAGGTCAATGCATAGTATGTCGGAAAATGGTAGCTTCTGCAGGTCCGCAGATGATGGCTCCCCTACCGCTATGCAGGGTCCAAAGGGGTTGGTGCTGTTTTAACTCAGTAGGAGTTGATCAGTTTGGACATCTGTTTGTTCCCAAGGGTCGTGGTTCGGAAGAGAAATATGGCTGCGTGTTTACGTGTTTACAGACCCAAGCCGTGCACTAAGAGCTCGCGGGCAGTCTCAATACAGATTCGTTTATCCTGTGTCTATTGAGATTCATTGGTAGACGAGGAAGACCTTCAGAGATTTATAGTGATAACGGATCGTGGGTGCCGTATCAGAACTAAAGGATACAATTAAACGCTGGGATAGACACAAGATTAACGAACGTCATGCATGTGATGAAATAAAATGATTCTCTAACCCTCCTTTCTCAAGTTATAGGGGAGGCGTATGAGAGAGAATGATCCGCTTCTTGTGCAGGTTACTGCTTGTGTTGACAAAGGAGCAGTTAATGCATGAGGAAACGTTGTCAACTCGCTTGTAGAAATTGAAAGGATTTTGAATAGCCGACCGCTAGTGCCGTGCATATCGGATGATAAGGAAAGAAGAGCACTGTCTCCGAACAGTTTATTGTTATTGACCGAGAACGATCAAACCTAGCAGGTCTCACAATGATGGAGAGTTATAAAAGACGGTGGAGACAAGTCAATCACTTTGCTAATAACTTCGGGCGTCGATGAATGAGAGTACATACCAACCATGCAAGTGCGACAAAAGTGGCTTTCGAAGCATCGCAATTTCAAAGCAGGCGACATCGTATTGGTAGCACCTGAAACTACAACACGTGGCAAATGGCTCATGGGCATCATTGATGCTGTGGAGACAGACGGAGAGGGACTCNACGGAGAGGGACTCGTACGAACGGCTGTGGTGCATACGGGTGACGGAAAGATAAGAAGAGATGTACGTCGCCTGTGTCTATTAGAAGGAGCCGACTAGCACCCGGATGATAGCTAAGAGGTTGTGCAGGCGTACTGCTGTAAGTCCTGTGAACTCTATTGTTTCGGGAGCGTAAGTAAGAAGAGGGAGCCGGAACGAGATACTATCTGAGGTGACATTGTCGGCGGGGAAGAATTTTTGTGGCAGGGGGNAAGAACTAAAAATTCTTCTCAATTATTTTGCATTTCCTGTTCTTTCTTCGTCATTATGTCGTGCATTCTTTCGGAAGGTGGTTTTCACGTCGGTGAATTTTCTATTCTGAACCTTCTATTTTATCTTTGATACGCTGGAGCATATCTTTTGGACACTCTTCAAGTGCTGTGCTCTTATATGTAAATGGGATTCAGTGCTTTTTTGTTTTAATGCGACCATAGTTTCGATTAGACGCTCTTTGTTGGACTAACCGTTGCTTTTGGTTATATTGAACCCCTTTTGGCCGTAACGCTCAAAATTATTTTGCTTGATCTGTTGCAGCCTGCAGAATTTTCCTATTGGTCCGGAATTATCTGAAAGGTAATTTAAATCATTCATTTTCTTATTTACTTGTTATTAACGCAGATATTTTCTGTGAATATTTGTAACATTTTGGCTGGATAGTTAATCAGGCTGATAATCAGAGATATGACTGCCTTATGTATTTGTGAATAATGCAAACATAGCACCGTAGATTATTTTTGGATCGGCTTGGTTCTCGATAATTTGGGCTACGCGTTGCTCTGAGATTTGTTTATCACTATCCAGAACGAGCGAAGAGTCATTTGATTGAACGCATATAGACGAGGTCTTTTTCGTTTTGCTCGGACCAGGACAACCGCGTTTTGATCGTTTTAGTACTCTGATATGACCGTCACTCGGCGAATGAATATGACGAAGAAGGACGTTGATGACGAACAGCGGTCATCCGGCCACAACACTGGAGAATCTCGAGAAGTCCCTCTGCATAGTTTTTCTGTTCATGGCTCCAGGGTTAGTGAGTCTAGTCGGCCGAGTGATAAGTCGAAGCTTAGCGTGTCGTTAATTGAAATGAAGGAGCGCCATCTGCAAGACAAAATGGAGCAGCAGATGAAAGAACTTCAAGAAAGCCATAGCAGCAAACTGCTAGCAGTACGACAAGAATTAGAGACTGCAAAGCTCGCAGAGGAAATGGAGGATAAGTTGTCCATCCGTTCTATCTTGAGTGAGGAAGGCAAAGATCGAGTGATTCAGTTTGTTGAAAACCATCCAGTATGGGACGCTAGGGAGGCGAGTGATCCTTTTGTTCCAGGACAGCAGGGTTCGGTGAGCTAGAGAGAGAACATAAGACAACAATGTCCACTTCAGGCCAAATTACTGCGAATCTAGACCTAACCAAAGTAGAGCTTCTATCCTTCGATGGACAACCCACAATCTACTGGAGGTTCATTAGGCAATTTCAAATATACTTTATCTCCAATACCAATGACGATGGGAAACGCTTATTATATTTGCTTCATTACTGTAAGGGGAAGGCTAGGAGCGCAATTGAAGATTGCATCATGTTGTCACCCACGGTTGGGTACGATAGGGCATACACGGTTCTCAAAGGCCTATTTGGACGCTCACATGAGGTAGAGCGCTCACTTTTAGATCAGGTCAGGTCAGGTCAGGTTGCACAGGATGGTAGAAGCTTTCGGCTGTCGAGCGTCCAAATTCTTGCTCCTGTCGGAAACTTGTCTTCCA